CTTCAGACGAACGCGCCTGTGATTCTGAATCGATTATGTGTGCGTACAAGCTCTGTAGCTATGCTAAAACTCGAGTTAAGTACAGAACACAGACAGCGCCTGTTTAGAGAAATTGAAGAATACAAATGGTTTCGCGGACCTGGCTCGAGTAGCAGACCTAGTTCAGACCTCTCGATGCAACAGGCAAGCGCGCCTGATGATTCTGGATCGGTTTCTGTGATTACCAGCTCTGAAACGTTTCTGCAGCCCGAGTTAAGTACTGAAAACCGACAGCACTTATCCAGATGACTCGAAGGATACGAATAGTTTCGTGGACCTAGCTCGAGTAGCAGACCGAGTTCAGACCTCTGGATGTAACTGACGCGCCTGATCATTCTAAATTGGTTATGCATGCGTATCATCTCTGTACTTCCTCTACAGCTCGAGAAAGACGCGCCTGATATCATGGATCGTTTTCTGTGAACACCAGCTCTGTAGCTCTCCTACAGCCCGGGGCTGAATAAAGAAAACCGACAGCACATGTCAAGATGACTCGAATAATCGAATAGTTTCGCGGACGTAGCTCGAGTAGCAGACCGAGTTCAGACCTCTAGATTCAACTCACGAACGCGCCTGATGAGTCTGAATCAGTTTCTGTAAGCATCAGCTCTGTAGCTGCTCTCAAGCTCGAGTTAAATAGAAAAAGCCGTCAACGCGTGTCAGATGACTCGAAACGGCCGATCCCGCCGCAACGCTTTTTGGCAGCAAACGGTACACGATCGAGCTGAGATCAGGATGGCAAGCGGGAATAAGATCGAGCATGGTCAGAGAAAAACTAGAGCTCAAACGAATTGTTGAATTTTGAGAACAAAATTTTCAACCGATCCAAAGGCAGCAAAAGGTCCGTCGAGACTGTGATCCAGCGGTAACCCGTCAACCAGGTAACCACCGGGAGTCTCGTAGAGCTCGGTTCTCGCGCGGTTGCTCGGAGCACACGAGAAAAGCTTTCTCAAGCGTGAAGAACATATATATATATATATATATATATATTAATTTGCATCTTCGCTTCGTGGACCCAGCTCGAGAGTTCGGACCTACCGATGCGAGAAAAGAACGCGCCGGGTGATACTGGATCGGCTCATATGCGTACCAGCTGTTTAGCTCTTCTAAATTTTCAGTCAAGGGAAACCGACAGCACTCGTCAAAATGACTCGTATAATACGAACAGTTTTGCGGATCTAGCTCGAGTAGCGAACCGAATTCAGACCGCTCGATGGAACAGACGAACGCGACTGATGATTCTGAGTCGTTTTCTGTAAGTATGAGCTCTGCAGCTGTCTTGAATCTCGAGTTAAGTGCAGAAAACCGTCAATGCGCGTGAAAATGACTCGAAACGGCGGACAGTTCAAGCAAGCATCTTAATAGTAATATTGCAGCTCGGGACCTGAGAATTTCAATGGCAGACGCGGGATAACCCACTGCAGGGGGGAAGAATATTGGTTATTACAACGAATTTTCAAATTTTACACAAACATAGAAAACTTACCCGAAGTCGTCACATTGGCTCTAATGGTCGTGTCGGCCAACTTCTCTCAGCTCACTGGCGCCGGCGGTAAACCGTCAACCTGGTTTTGTTTGTTTGCGCTCCTGTGCACCAGCTGTAAAGCAGCTGGAGGAGAACGAGTCCCGAAGCAGCGAACGCAGCGAACGGGCAACGCACAAAGCGTTCAGGCGGCACACCTACACAGTGAACCTCCTTTGAAGGTCAGGCAACGTTTCAACGATCGGAGTTAAGGGGAAAGCAGAGCAGAAAGAAGAAGATTACGAGTAGCCTACTACACAATACTCATGTGGCGCAGGATAAAAGTAAAAGGCACACATCTCATCATAAGTCCAGCCGTATGGATGCCAGTCGAAATCCATAAGCTCCGATGGTGCAGGCATATGGCACAGGTCCATGTACGACCACTCCAGTTCTTCAAATCTCGCACTGGACATTTGCGGATTCCGCACCGCCTCCTCGACTGAGACAGCATTGTGCAGCATACCGAGCAGGGGAAGGACGTCGGCGAGTCGCATATGTAGTAACTTCGTACCGCAAATGACGTCCCCCATAGCGACATACGTGCGCACGACCACTGTGAAAGGGTCGAAGAACTTCGCACATCCCAAGTCAACATACAGTGGGTGCCGTTGGACCTCTGGGGACGCCGCAAGAATGGAGCCCACCTCGGACTTGCTGACCCTGCGGATACACTTGAACTCATTCTCAGCGCCCATAAGGAGAAAACCCTCCAACGGCGTCCCAAGAGACTCACTCAGACCAGCATAACCCGCATACCCGCTCTCTGGGTGGAGGACGTCCTGGAGATTCTCGCCACTCGCAGCCTCCCTCCAAGCACCAACAATGAAACATATAGGCACCCAAGTATCGTGTACATCATCTGCGCAGCACGTCACCAGTTCCCGCGGCGCAGGGAACTCAATATCATAAGTGGGAACACAGCCTGGATTCAATACAACATTGAGCGTGACATCGGAATCTGCCTGCACTTTGGGCGTCGAAGAAAACTCTGCACTCGAAAGAGGTACCGCGGGAAGCAACGAGTGAGCCCTTACATCAGCCAAAGAAGCACTCTGCGCACAGCCAGGGTTCGATACCACAGCGAGCGTGACAACGGATACTGCCTCCAACTCCTCCTCCGCCTCCTCCGTCACTTTCCCAAGAACAGTTCCTGAAGCTTCTCCCTCCATCCCAAAAACACTCTCTGTCTGACAGCCGACTTCAAAGGGCTCCAGAGGATAAGATGAAAGAAGTGCATACACGTCCGAAGAAGATGAGACCACTGCCTTCACATCAGAAGAAGATGAGACCACTGCCTTCACATCAGAAGAAGAAGATGAAAGAACTGCATACATGTCAGAAGAAGATGAGACCACTGCCTGCACATCCTCGCAAGTGAACTGAGTTTGCACGCCGGCACCCATTGAAGAAACTGGAATGCTTTGAGAATTCACTTGGACCTCAGCATCCATTGAAGACACTCGAATGCTTGGAAAGGGGGAATGCACTTCGTCAACCTGGACACCAGCATCAATTGAAAATACTCGAATGCTTTGAGAAGGATGTTCGACCTCGTCAACCTGGACCCCAGCATCAATAGCAGAAGAAAAACCGCGAAGTGCAACGGAATCAACTATCGGGCAGCTATCAGAGGGATGGAGTAATGCTGTCAACAACTCATTCGCCTGAGCATCCAACTCTGCATGCAAGACCGTGTCGCGGGCGACTAGGCCTTCGAGCACCAACGGAAGAGGACAATTCGGTCGAACCCATTTAAGTTGACAAGCCCGAGCCCGACGCAAACACCTGGATGCGAGACTCCGCACATGAGGCATCTGGCACAAACAAAACCACAAATGATAGGTATATGGCAGAAAACTGAAGGGAGATGTGTGAGGACACCTGAGAGATCACAACAATGATATACTGCAAATTGAACAATATGCAATCCACTCAAGGCAGATCTGAAAGAACCGAGACTTACGAGCACCACTCTGGGCAGTGAGGAACAAGTCAGCGTATACAAATTGCCGCCGCCGAACCGCAACGAGAAATGAATATGAGAGGCCAACAATGACAAGCAAGATGTACAGGGAGATGGGCAGTTGCGTAAGCAGAGCAAAACAACACGCTAGCTCAACGTTCACCTTCGCGGAGGTTCCCCAGGCAGGAGAAAATGAACGTAGCGGAGCCTTGAGCCTTGAGCCTTGAGCCTCAACCTGGTTACCGCCGGAAACCTCGCAGAGCTCTTTTCTTGCCCAGCTCCTCGGAAGTGAAGCAAGCTTAAGCAGAGCCAAGAAACTCTAAAAAATCGGTCGCATATAAATACTGGGCGCCGGCGGTAAACCGTCAACCTTTCTTACCGCCGGGGGACTCGTAGAGCTTCCTGACAATATATAATGTCGAAAACAATTGCAGAGAACGAGTAGTTGTTCAGCCCAAGCGATTTCAGACCTCTCGATGCAACAGCCGAACGCCCCCCGATGCTTCTGGATTGTCTTCTGTACGAGCTCTGTAGCTCTCCTACAGCCCGAGTTACGTGCGTGAATCGAGAGCACCTCTCAAGATGACTCGAACAAAACGAATAGTGGGGCAAACCCAGCTGGATTATCAGACCGAGTTCAGGCCTCTGAATGCGACAGGCGGACGCGTCTGATATCTCCGAATCGATTCCTGTGATTACCAGCCCTGCAGCCCCCGAAAAGCCCGAGTTAAGTCCAGAAAGCCGACAGCATCTCTCAGGATGACTCGAACAATACGAATAGTTTCGCGGACCTAGTTCGGGCAGCAGACCGATTTCCGAGCTCTCGATTCGACAGGCGGACGCGCCTGATCTCTCCAAATCGATTCCTGTCACCACCAGGACTGTAGCCCCCCTACAGCCCGAGTTAAGTGCAGAAAACCGACAGCACCTCTCAAGATGACTCGAACAATACGAACAGTTTCGCGATTTTAGATCGGCCAGCAGACCGAGTTCAGAGCTCTGGATTCAACAGACAAACGCGACTGATGATTCTGAATCGATTCCTGTAAATATCAGCTCTGTAGCTGTCCTATAGCTCGAGTTAAGTACAGACAACCGAGAGCGCCTGTCAAGATGACTCGAATAATACGAATAGTTTTGCGGGCCTAGCTCGGCTAGCAGACCGAGTTCAGACCTCTGGATGCATCAGACGAACGCGCCTGATCATTCTGGATCGATGAGGTGTGCTTACCAGCTCTGTAGCTTTCCTATATCTCGAGTTAAGTTCAACATACAGACAGCGCGTATCAAGATGACTTGAAACGGCCGATCCCGCCGCAACGCTTTTTGGCAGTAAAAGGCACCCGATCGAGCTGAGATCAAGATGGCGAGCGGAAATAAGATCGAATATCACGGAAAAAAACTAGAGCTCTAACGAATGGTTGAATTTCGAGAACAAAATTTTCAACCGACCAAAAGTTAGCAAAAGGTCCGTCGAGATTTTGCTTGGCAACTGGCGCCGGCGGTGAACCGTCAACCTGGTCTTTTGCGTCTTTTGCGAAGGCCGGTTCGAGCTCCCATGGGAGCAGGCCTAAACACAAAGAACCTAAGCAGCGAAGCTGCAAAGATTAAGTACAAGTGCGCAAACAGCGAAGCTGTACAGGAATGCACAAGTATACAATACACGAGAATGCAACTCAAAAATTGATGGAAGTAAAGCAGTGCGAGACCATGCAGTAACCACATATAGCGATTACCGTCTCAGCACCACTGACAATAAAAGCAGTGAGAGACCATACAGTAACCACTGGTTTATACAGCGATTACCGTCTCAACACCACTGAGACAAACACAAAACTAACAACTAGAATGACGAGTACACTCCAGTCCCCTTTGAGGCAACCGTAGTGTCGACAGATCAAAGGCCTACTTTGAGGCACCACGTGACAAATCACGGAAAGTCACGTTCAAAGGTCAATGAGCACTCAAATCAAGGAAGCAACGAATGCACTCAATCAATGAAGAAAGGCAACGCAATGACAAATCAAGCGTGCAGGATCAATCGCATGTGTATCATCTGTGCCGTTTCCGATGCTTCTTGCCGCTCCGCGTCAATGCACTCCTGGAAGTAGAACTCTGAGGACCCCCATGTTGCGAATCATCCTCCTCGGAGCTTTCAATTCCCAATTGCAGCCTGTATGCATTAAGAGCCTCAGTCCTACGCTGAAGCTCCTGTGTCGGGAGTCGGTGTAGCTCAAGCCAAAGAGCCCTCATATCGACACCGGCAAGGGCCCAGTCCCTGGCAGCTTGGCACTCAGAGCGTGTCTCACTCGGTCGATCTGCAGAACTCCCATTCATGGAACTCCCGACTGCATCAGCTGAACTCCCAACTGCAGAACTCCCAGCTGTTGAACTCCCAACTGCATCCTCAACTGCATCAGCGGAACTCCGAACTGTGGAACTTCCTACTGCACTCCCAAGTGTTGAACTCCCGACTGCACTGGAACTCCCGACTGCATCAACTGTACTCAAAACTGCGGTACTCTCCACCGCACTCCCGTTGGTCGCATGCAATTCTGAAGTGTGCAACTTTGTACTCTCGATAGTCTCCGTTCGTTTGAAGCAATATCTCTTCATTCTGAGAGAAGCATCACCCCGATCAACGTGCACTCGATGACACTCCTCCTTCTCCCCTTCACCAACATGAACAAAATCCTCCTCAGCCACCTCCTCCTGCTCTATCTTAGCAACTGCTTCACTATGAACATTATCCTCCTCCTCGTCCTTGCAGCCAGGGTTCGATGCCACAGCATCAGCTGAACTCCAAACCGCGGTACTCCCAACTGCAGAACTCCCAGCTGTTGAACTCCCAGCTGCATCCACAACTGCATCAGCGGAACTCCGAACTGTGGAACTTCCTACTGCACTCCGAACAGTTGAACTCCCGACTGCACAGGAACTCCCAACTGCAGAAGCATCACCCCGATCAGCGCGCACTCGATGACACTCCTCCTTCTCCTCCTCACCAACAAAGAGAACACAAAGATCAGTCTGAGTCCCACACTCAATGTGAACACAGGGATCTGTCTGAGTCCCACAATCGGAACACTGCGAATGCAAAGAGTAGCCAGCCAATTCAACAGTATCCATATCAGTCTGTGTTCCACAAGTGTCCTCGACCCACTCCTCTTCCTCAGAATCGTCCGAGCAGAAATTCCGATAATATCTGGGCGCGAAAATGCCCGCGCGAACAAGGCACGACGGATCTGGCCCCCGAGCCGTGGACCACAAATGATACCTGACACGTTTCGCCCGCAGGCGGCGCAACTTCGATTGAGAAACTTTGACACCATGCCCATACAGCTGGTCTCGCTCATGCATGCGAGACTCACCTCCGTACGAAGGGCGAACACGGCAATATAAATCACTAACACACACTTTGACCGTAGACAAACGAGCAGACAAACAAGCAAGTAAACAACGCCATATCTGTCCAATCTGAAGCAAGAAAATCCGCGCCTGACAATTCAGATGAAACAAACTCCATATATAAAAGCGTGGACTCGCTCTACAAGAAGGCAAATCACGAGCAATAACTAGATGGACAGTTGAGATAACCAAGGAAAATGCTGTTCCAACGATACTCCGACAATCTCAACACTTATATGCACTCCGACGACAATCAATAAGAGGCCTTCGACAATCAATAAGAGTGTACGGTACTCAGGCAAAAGAGACACTGAAGCACCGTGTACGGTAAAGAGAACCAAACGCCAGGCACGGCACGATGCCGCTCGAGGAGGCCACCGACGGGCCAGGTCGCCGCTGAGATCCCGAGGAGGGACAGCAGCAACCTGGTCACCGCCGGGAACCTCGTAGAGCTCCTTTCACGCTTGAGAGAGCTCAGAGTCGAAAGAGAGAGCTTCTGGAGGCATTTCTCGAAAAATTGAACATTCATATTTTTCATGTCGGAATGAAGTTGGTTCCTCCAAGTGTTTCGGTAGTAAAAGTGCGCCTAGAGAGCTCATATTAAGACCCAGAGGCCCTCATAATCTTTTACAGGTGCGAAAAATCTGCTTTCTAAATGGTCAAATATCTTTCACATATTCGCAAAACCACCAAAAAGTTACCACATTGTCATTTCTGGCCGGGTCGATCAACTAGCTCCACCCCGCGCCGGAATTCCTCTAGCTCATCGATAACGAAGAGCTCTACGAGGTACTGGGCGCTGGCGGTAAACCGTCAACCTTTCTTACCGCCGGGGGACTCGTAGAGCTTCCTGACAATATAATGTGGAAAAAACTTGCAGAGAACGAATAGTTTTTCAGCCCAAGCGATTTGAGACTCTCGATGCAACAGCCGAACGCCCCCGATGCTTCTGGACTGTCTTCTGCACGAGCTTTGTAGCTCTCCTGCAGCCCGAGTTACCTGCGTAAATCGACAGCACCTCTCAAGATGACTCTAATAAAACAAATAGATTGGCAACCCAGCTCGAGTATCACACCGATTCAGACCTCTGAATGCGACAGGCGGACGCATCTGATGTCTGCGAATCGACTTCTGTGATTACCAGCCCTGCAGCCCCCCTACAGCCCGAGTTAAGTGCATAAAACCGACAGCACCTCTCAGGATGACTCGAACAATACAATAGTTTCACGGACCTAGTTCGGGTAGCAGATCGAGTTCCCAGCTCTGGATTCGACAGGCGGACGCGCCTGATGTCTTCAGATCGATTCTTCTGACCACCAGCACTGTAGCCCCCCTCAGCCCGAGTTGAGTGCAGAAGACCCAGAGCACTTCTCAAGATGACTCGAAGAATACGCATGGTTTCGCGATTCTAGATCGGGCAACAGACCGAGTTCAGAGCTCCGGATTCAACGGACAACTGCCACTGATGATTCTGAGTCGTATCAGCTCTGTAGCTGTCCTGTAGCTCGAGTTAAGTACAGAAAACCGAGAGCGTCTGTCAAGATAACTCGAATAATACGAATAGGTTTGCGGACCTAGCTCGGCTAGCAGACCAGTTCAGACCTCTGGATTCAACAGGCGAACGCGCCTGATTATTCTGGATCGATTAGCTGTGCTTACCAGCTCTGTAGCTGTCCTAGAGCTCGAGTTATGTTCAGAAAACCGTCATCGCGTGTCAACATGACTTGAAACGGCCGATCCCGCCTGCCTGCTTTTTGGCAGTAAAAAGTACCCGATCGAGCTGAGATCAAGATGGCGAACGGAAATAAGATCGAATATCATGGGAAAAAATACTAGATCTCAAACGAATTCTTGAATTTCGACAAAAAAAAAAAAAAACGACCAAAAGTCACCAAAAGGTCCGTCGAGATTTTTCTTGCCAACTAGCTCTCCAGCGCCCCGGAATTACTCTTAAGTTCCAGCAATAACTTGCTAAGGGAAGCTCTACGAGTTACTAGCTCTCCAGCGCCCCGGAACTGGCGCCGGCGGTGAACCGTCAACCTGGTCACCGCCGGGGACCTCGTAGAGCTAGCTCTTTTCACGCGTGAGAGAGCTCAGAATGAGAAGAGAGAGCTTCTCGAGGCATGTCTTGAAACATTCAACATTGTTTTTTTTCATGTGGACATGAAGTTGGTTCCCCCAAGTGTTTTGATAGTGAATGTGCGCCTAGAGAGCTGATATTAAGACGCAGAGGCCCTGATAGTCGTTTACAGGTGCGAAAAATCTGCTTTCTCAGAATAAATCGTCAAACTGGGCGCCGGCGGTAAACCGTCAACCTTTCTCACGGCCGGGGGACTCGTAGAGCTTCCTGGCCATATAAAATGTCGACAAAAAATGCAGAGAACGAATAGTGTTTCAGGCCAAGCGATTTCAGACCTCTCGATGGGACAGCCGAACGCCCCTGATGCTTCTGGATCGTTTTCTGTGCGTACGAGTTCTGTAGCTCTGCTACAGCCCGAGCTACGTGCGAAAATCGACAGCACCTCTCAAGATGACTCGAACAATACGAATAGCTTCGCGAACCTAGCTCGAGTATCAGACCGAGTTCAGACCTCTGAATGCGACAGGCGGACGCGCCTGATGTCTCTGAATCGATTCCTGTGATTACCAGCCCTGCAGCCACCCTATAGCCCGAGTTAAGTGCTGAGAACCGACAGCACCTCTCAAGATGACTCGAACAATACGAATAGTTTCGCGGACCTAGCTTGGGCAGCAAACCGAGTTCCGAGCTCTGGATTCGACAGGCGGACGCACCTGATGTCTCCAAATCGATGTGTGTGATGACCAGCCCTGTAGCCCCTCCATAGCCCGAGTTAAGAACAGAAAACCGACAGCACCTCAGAAGATGACTCGAACAATACGAATAGTTTCGCGAACCTAGCTCGGGCAGCAGACCGAGTTCAGAGGTCTGGATTCAACAGACGAACGCGCCTGATGATTCTCAATCGATTTCTGCGACTATGAGCTCTGTAGCTGCCCTGCAGCTCGAGTTAAATACAAAATACCTACAACGCGTATCAAGATGACTCGAAACAGCCGATCCCGTCCGTGTCCTTTTTGGAAGTAAAAGGTACCCGATCGAGCTGAGATTGAGATGGCGAGCGGGAATAAGATCGAATATCACTGGAAAAAATACTAGAGTTCTAACGAATGGTTGAATTTCGAGAAAAAATTTTCAACCGACCAAAAGTCAGCAAAAGTTCCGTCGAGATTTTTCTTGCCAACTAGCTCCCCAGCGCGCCGGAATTACTGGGCGCCGGCGGTAAACCGTCAACCTTTGTTACCGCCGGGAGACTCGTAGAGCTTCCTGACAATATATAATGTCGAAACAATTTGGAGAGAACCTGTAGTTTTTCAGCCCAAGCGATTTCAGACCTCTCGATGCAACAGCCGAACGCCCCCGATGCTTCTGGATTGTCTTCTGTACGAGCTCTGTAGCTCTCCTACAGCCCGAGTTACGTGCGTAAATCGACAGCAACCCTGAAGATACTCGAACAATACGAATAGTTTGGCAAACCTAGCTCGAGTATCAGACCAAGTTCAGGCCTCTGAATGCGACAGGCGGACGCGTCTGATGTCTCCGAATCGGTTCCTGTGATTACCAGCCCTGCAGCCCTACAGCCCGAGTTAAGTGCAGAAAACCGACAGAATCTCAGGATGACTCGAACAATACGAATAGTTTCGCGGACCTAGTTCGGGCAGCAGACCGAGTTCCGAGCTCTGGATTCGACAGGCCGACGCGCCTGATGTCTCCGAATCGATTCCTGTGACTACCAGCACTGTAGCCCCCAGACAGCCCGAGTTAAGTACAGAAAACCGACAGCACCTCTCAAGATGACTCGAACAATACGAATAGTCTCGCGATTCTAGAGCGGGCAGCAGATCGAGTTCAGAGCTCTGGATTCAACAGACAAACGCGACTGATGATTCTGAATCGATTTCTGTACTTATCAGCTCTGTAGCTGTCCTATAGCTCGAGTTAAGTACAGAAAACCGAGAGCGCCTGTCAAGATGACTCGAATAATACGAATAGGTTTGCGGTCCTAGCTCGGCTAGCAGACCGAGTTCAGACCTCTAGATGCAACGGACGAACGCGCCTGATAATTCTGAATCGATAAGGTGTGCTTACCAGCTCTGTAGCTGTCCTGTATCTCGAGTTAAGTCCAATATACCGACAGCGCGTATCAAGATGACTCGAAACGGCCGATCCCGCCACAGTGCTTTTCGATAGTAATATTCACCCGATCGAGCTGAGATCAAGATGGCGAGCGGGAATAAGATCGAATATCACGGGAAAAAATACTAGAGCTCTAACGAATGTTCAAATTTTGAGAACATAATTTTCAACTGAGCAAAAGTCATCAAAAGGTCCGTCGAGATTTTTCGAGCCAACTAGCCCGCCAGTGCGTCCGAATTACTCTTGAGCTTCCAGCTGCTAGCTTAGGGAAGCTCTACGAGTCACTCTTAAGCTTCCAGCAACTAGCTAAGGGAAGCTCTACGAGTTATATCTCTCAAACCTTGGCAAAACCGACTGGGCGCCGGCGGTAAACCGTCAACCTTTCTTACCGCCGGGGGACTCGTAGAGCTTCCTAAAAATATATACTGTCGAAAAAATTGCAGAGAACAAATAGTTTTTCAGCCCAAGCGATTTCATACCTCTCGATGCATCAGCCAAACGTCCCCGATGCTTCTGGAGTGTCTTCTGTACGAGCGCTGTGGCTCTCCTACAGCCCGGGTTACGTGCGTAAATCAACAGCACCTCTCAAGATGACTCGAACAATACGAAATCTAGCTCGAGTATCAGACCGAGTTCAGACCTCTGAATGCGACAGGCGGACGCGTCTGATGTCTCCGAATCGATCCCTCTGATTACCAGAGCTGCAGCCCCCCTACAGCCCGAGTTAAGTGCAGAAAACCGACAGCACCTCTCAGGATGACTCGAACAATACGAATTGCTTCGCGGACCTAGTTCGAACAGCAGACCGAGTTCCGAGCTCTGGATTCGACAGGCGGACGCGCCTGATGTCTTCAAATCGATTCCTGTGACTACCAGCACTGTAGCCCCTCTACACCCCGAGTTAAGTACAAAACTGACAGCACCTCTCAAGATGACTCGACAATGACTCGAATAATACGAATAGGTTTGCGGACCTAGCTCGGCTAGCAGACCGAGCGAGTTCAGACCTCTGAAGGCAACAGACTAACGCGCCTGGTCATTCTGAATCGATAAGGTGCGCTTACCAGCTCTGTGGCTGTCCTGTATCTCGAGTTAAGTCCAATATACCGAGAGCGCGTATCAAGATGACTCCAAACGGCCGATCCCGCCGCAGTGCTTTTTGGCAGTAAAAGGTACCCGATCGAGCTGAGATCAAGATGGCGAGCAGGAATAAGATCGAATATCACGGGCAAAAATACTAGA